CCAAAGTGGCCTCGGCGAGACCGTAGCCGCAGCCGTACGTCTTGGGGTTGAAGCCAGCCGGTGCGAACGTCTCGGTGAACGCGTTGAGCGACTCGATGCGAATCGGCTCGGCAGCGCACAAACTCTGGCGTAGATGGCGCAAATCAAGTTCAGCTGCTTGGGCCTTGGTCGTCTTGCGGGCCGCCAGGGCGTAGCCAAAGTTGGGCGCGCAGATCTGCGTGGCCTTGTACTTGGAAGCCGTACGCATCCAAAGAGCAGGATCCTTGATGAACGAGAGTGGCGACATCGACACACACCGAGCGCCTGGACAAGTGCAATGTCAGAAAGGCCAAGTGCAAAGTGGGATCGAAGTGCGTACCAGTCGAGGCTGGTGCGAGAATAAACACGACGAGACCCATGTCGTGGTACGATGGAACCCACGAGACCATCGTGTCAGTCTCGCGAATCGCGACCCAGACCTTGAGCTGGGCGTTGACGTTGCCGTAGGAGACCATGACGGCCTTGGGCTCGGACGTCGAGCCGGACGAGTACTGGAAGAAGGCCAAGTCGTCAAACGAACACTCGACGTCAGTATAGCTAAGCAATGCAACCCATGAGCTTGTGGCACGTTGGACAGAGGCGTCTTACCACATGTCCATGTCTTCAGCAATGGCGTCGGTCGAAAACCACTGAATGTCCTTGGGCCACGTGACCGAGCCAGAGAAGAAGCTCTTGGCGGTCGCGAGCTGCGTCGCCATGTAATACGTGCGGTTGGTCAGAATAACCTTGGCGCCCGAATCAACAACCATGCGGTTAAACTTGGGAAGATCCTTGGTGAGCGTGCCCGGGTACGGCGGGTAGACGGGCACGGCCGTCGCACCGGCGTAGAGGCAACCCCAAAAGCCCATGGCAAAGTCCAGGCCCGGAGGATACGCGAGCATGACACGGTCGCCCTTCTTCAGATCTAAACAATCATAAGTCTCCAGCTTCGAGAAGCAAGTGTGTTGCGTACTGGCATCTTGCTGCAAGGTAGCAGCGACGCGGCGGGCGGCGCGGTCGAGGTCGCCAAACGTAAGGTTGACGCTTTCCCGGCCATAGTCGTCGAGGAATGTGTAGACGACCTTGTTGGGGGTCGAGCGAGCCCGCTGCTTGAGGAGTTCGACAATGGTTAGATCCTCAAAGGTGGCCGGCGTCCGCGAGCCGTGATGGGACCGCTCTTGTAAAAACGCCTTGGTGGGAGATGCAGGCTTCGACTTGTCGTCGGCCGCCCACATGTCGTCGACGGGCTCGAAGCTACCAGCAATGGCCGGCGACGGCGACGGCTGCAGCAGCCCGAGGAGCATCGAGAGGAAGGCGATGGCTGCGAGCTTGATCGCGTCCAGAATCACCATCGGCTTCATGGCTGATGTGTACTGCGCGGCGTAAAAACGGAAATGAATGCACCGGACGACGACTTTGCACTCTTGTTTTTTGCGACTAGCGACAGGCGAAACCATATCCATCGACGGCGGGTCGCCATACCGAATCGCCGCACATCTATTTGATAACGGACTCGACGCCGCGTGCCCATAGCAAACCACGTTGCGCGACTCGAACCAGATGGTTGTCATTTCGAGTGAAGAGGGAGGGGCAATGTGCGCCGCGCAGCAGCAGGTCGCTCACCGATACTACGCCTTGGTGCGGAAAATTTTCGACGGGGTCGAGCACAACGATACATATATTTGTACAAAACGCTCGACTAATGGTTCACGCCGACAGAAAAGAGCGGTACTCTGGCGAAGGCGGAAGGTGACGGTGTCGAGACGCGTCGTCCCTCCTATTGCCATCACATAGATCTTGCAGCCCATCACTGGGACGTTTGGCAGTAATGGTATGTCTTTCGGGTGGGAGGGCGGACCTCTAGCAGACCGCCAACATTCGTGGCGCCAATGCATGCGCTGGCTTCAAAATTTGGCCGCGTCATCCGCCTCGACGTCGTCTGGGGATCGACGGCGCAAATCCCACATGCACTTACGTGGCGTCTACCGTCGTCCACCCGCGGCTTTCTCGCCACCAATACAGTTTGTAAGATAAATGTCGTAGGAAGAACTCAAAGAACAAACCCACCCGGTTGGTTCAAAACGTTATGTGGAGTATGCACCACCCGCGACACGTGCTGCAAAGCCAAGGACGACAAGGAAAGGGCGTCCGATCCATGTCGTCGATGGATCCTTGAGGCAAGGACATCCATCGTAGGAGATTGAGAAACGTAACCAAAATGTAATCCAAGTGGGGTCTCGAGCAAAGTGCAAACGACGTGGCGGATACGACGACGTTTCTGATGCGGCCTGTCTACCAGCGCCAAGAATGTAGGTATTTCATAGCCAATCAAACGCCGTCATTTCAAATCTGATTGGCGGTTTCGGCGCCGAAGCGCCATTGCGATCTTCCGACGCCAGCGACCGACAAGAGACGGCTCTGTTCCTTGTTGTTCTCGCTTCCGACACGGTCAGAGGAGGGTTAATTGAGCAGTACTAGTAGCGTCCGATATTTGGGCTATTTGTATTCGCTTCGCCACCCCGTTCCCTTACCTGGTATCTACTTTGGCGAGTAGCACCCTGTGTAGCACCGACGTATCCATGGCGCTGCGCAGGACCGCCGATACAAAAACAAGACGGTGCCACCTCCATGGATGCATCCTCCTTCGCCTACTAGTACGTCAGTGCAGCCGGCGTGTCAATGCAGCCGACTAGTGCTGTAGCGTTACTACGACGAGCTTTTCCACCAAGAAAATAAACATGCGAGTCCACAAGATGCGACTATTTATGTGCAAAATGCATTTGATTCACACACTGGAACGTGAAACTACTAACCTAACCTATTTTGGCTTTTCCTCTAAACGGCGGGGGCATCGACATCTTCGACATCTTCGACGACGGCGACCTTGGCCTCGACGACAGCAGACTCTGTGCGCAGACTGTCCATGATGCGGACCAGCGCCTGCACGGTGCGACTGAGGTCGGCTTCGGTGTGCAAGTACGAGATGAAGAAGCGCAGTCGGCACTTGCCCTCCTCGACGGCCGGGTGCACGATCGGCTTGACGTTGATCTTCTCTTCGTCGCTCAGCCGCATCGAGAGACGCACCGTCTCGACCGTCCCGCCAATGTACACGACCACCACGCACGCGCCACGGACGTTCGTGCCCACGTCGAGCTTGGCCGCCACGCACGCGTCGTAAAAGAACGCGCTGAGTTCCTGGAGACGCACCGACCGCTGCGGCTCGTCGCCCATGAGCTGGACGGCCTTGAGCGCCGCGCCGGCGTTGGCCGGACCGAGGCCCACCGAGTAGACAAAGCCACCCGCAGAGTACTTGAGGTAGTCGACCACGGTCTTGGTGGCGAGGATAAAGCCGCCCACAGACCCGAGCGACTTGCTCATCGTGCCCATGCGCACGTCGACGTCGGTGGTCGGCACGTCAAAGTACTCGCACATGCCCTTGCCCGTCTGGCCCATCGTGCCGAACGAGTGCGCTTCGTCCACAAACAGAATGGCCTTGTGCTGCTTCTTGAGCGCGACAAACGCCGGCAGATTCGGCACGTCGCCGTCCATCGAGTACACGCCCTCGATCACGATCAGCACGCGCCGGTACTTGTGCCGGACCGACTTGAGGATGCGCTCGGCGGCGGCCACGTCATTGTGCGGGAACGCCAGGATCGTCGCGCCACTGAGGCGCTGGCCGTTCACGCAGCTGTTGTGGTTGAGGATGTCGCACAGAATGAGGTCGCCCTTGCCGACAAGCGCCGCGATCGTCGTCACGTTGGTGACCCAGCCGCCCACAAACAGCACGGACGCCTCGGCGTCAAAGTGCTTGCACAAGGCGGCCTCGAGCTGCGTGTTGATGATGTTTTGGCCCACGATCGGCGACGAGCTCATGCCCGTGCCGTACGTGTCGATGGCGTCCTTGGAGGCCTGCGCCGTCGCGGGGTGCGACGCGTACCCGAGGTAGTTGTACGTGTTGAAGTTGAGCTGCTTCTTCTTCTCGGCCGTGAGCACGTCCAAGTACGGCAGCACGAGACCGGCGTCCGTGAGCTCGCTCAGCTGACCGCGGAGGTGCTGGACCTCGGGGAAGCATTCGAAATCGTAGCACTCGGCCTTGATCTCGCCGTTCTCGTCGACGTACGAGCCTTCGGGGAGCGTCGACTCTTGCGTCTCGAGCTCGCCGGTGGCGAGACCCGGAGCGTTGGCGAGCTTGACCGGCGTATCAAACTGGAAAAAGGCCGACGGCGGCACGACGCAGCCGAGGAACTCGCCGAGCTCGGCGCTGAGACCGACAATGGCCACCGAGTCCATGCCAACGCAGGCCCACGGCGTGTCGGCGTCGATGGTCGGCGCCTTGGCCGACGACGTCTCGTACTCGTCGCTGCTGTCGCTGGTTTCCTGGGCGAGGCGCTCGAGCAACCACGCCACAATCTCTTCCGGGGTCTTGACAACGGCCGGCGTCTTGACAACGTCGGCAGCTTCGGCAGCCGGCGCAGTGTCGGGCTCGACCACTACGGCCACCGGAACCGCCTTGGGACGGCTCTCGATGACGCCCTTGTGGATGTACTGGGCGGCGAGCGTGTTGTCTTCAAACTTGGCCTTGGTGCCGCGACGCTGGATCTTGCCGCTCGTCGTCTTGGGGATGCTGCGAGGACGCAAGAGGACGATCGAGGCGCAACGGAGCTGGTGTTCCGACAGCACCGACGTCGCAATGGCGTTGGCGATGGCGCGGAGCTTGTCCTGGTCCTTCTTGAGGTCCGAGCGCATCTCAGCAACCACAACGAGAGCTTCTTCTTGGTTGGACGTCTCGATCGAAAAGGCAGCGACACAGCCAGGGCGAACCTCGTCGTGGGCCAGCTCGGTCGTGCGCTCGACGTCTTGCGGACACACGTTGCGACCGCGGATGATGATCAAATCCTTGAGACGGCTCGTGACGTACATGACGTCGCCGTCAAAGAAACCCATGTCACCCGACCGCAAGTAGTGGTTCTCGGGCGTGTCGGCCGTGCCGCGAACGGTCGCCTGGAACTGCTCCTTCGTGTACTGCTCGCGGTTCCAGTAGCCCTTGGTGACGCTCTCGCCTTGGATCCAGATCTCGCCGACGCGGCAGTCGGGCAGCTGTTCGCGCGTCTCGGGGTCGACGATGATGACCTTGAAGGTCGGGCGGAGCGTGCCGCAGCCGACAAGCGTCATCGTGTCAACGGCCGGGTGGTCGGCAGATGCGCGCTGAGCCTTCTTGTGCTGCTCGAGGGCGTTCTTCTTGGCGACAAAGACGACGGGCTCCTTGGGGTTGTACGGGTCGGGGCCAGTCGCAGCCTAGAGATATGTCACAATGAGAATTCCCGCCCAATAAGAAAATAAGAAAAATGAGAATCGTACCAAAGTGGCCTCGGCGAGACCGTAGCCGCAGCCGTACGTCTTGGGGTTGAAGCCAGCCGGTGCGAACGTCTCGGTGAACGCGTTGAGCGACTCGATGCGAATCGGCTCGGCGGCGCAGAGGCATTGCCGAAGGTGCGTCAGGTCGAGGTCAGCGACCTGCTTCTTTGTCGTCTTGCGGGCCGCGAGGGCGTAGCCAAAGTTGGGCGCGCAGATCTGCGTGGCCTTGTACTTGGAGGCCGTACGCATCCAGAGCGACGGGTCCTTGATGAACGAGAGTGGCGACATCGACACACACCGAGCGCCTGGACAAGTGCAATGTCAGAAAGGCCAAGTGCAAAGTGGGATCAAAGAGCGTACCAGTCGAGGCTGGTGCGAGAATAAACACGACGAGACCCATGTCGTGGTACGACGGAACCCACGAGACCATCGTGTCAGTCTCGCGAATAGCAACCCAGACCTTGAGCTGGGCGTTGACGTTGCCGTACGACACCATGACGGCCTTGGGCTCGGACGTCGAGCCAGACGAGTACTGGAAGAAGGCCAAATCGTCAAACGAGCACTCGACGTCAGTGTAGCTACACACATTGATGCATGAGATATTGCAACAGCCAGCGCAATTGGAGCATACAATTCGGCCATTGAGTCAGCCACGGCGTCCGAGGACACCCAGCTGACGTCCTTGGGCCACGAGACGGCATCGTTGGTGAAGAAGTTCTTGGCCGTCGCGAGCTGCGTCGCCATGTAGTACGCACGGTTGGTCAAAATAACCTTGGCGCCCGAGTCGGCAACCATGCGGTTAAACTTGGGCAGGTCCTTGGCGAGCGTGCCCGGGTACGGCGGGTAGACGGGCACGGCCGTCGCACCGGCGTAGAGGCAACCCCAAAAGCCCAGCGCGAAATCCAGGCCCGGAGGATACGCGAGCATGACGCGGTCGCCCTTTTGGAGGTTCGCGTCCTTCTGCAGCGTGGCTGCGACGCCGCGGGCCGCGCGGTCAATGTCGCCAAAGGTGAGGTTGACGCTTTCGCGCCCACGGTCGTCGAGGAACGTGTAGACGACCTTGTCGGGCATGTCGATGGCCCGCTGCTTCATGAGCTCGGCGATCGAGAGCTCATGGTAGGCGGCGGTCTTGACGCTGTTGACGCGGGCGCGCTTGGCGTCGTGGAGCGGCTCGTCCGTCACGTCGCCCGAGACCGTCGGCTTGAGCATCGGCTTGGGCGGGCAGCGCGGGCTGCTCTCAAACTTGCGCTTGCGCGTGCAGAAGAAAGCAGTCGCGCCGACTGTGACAGCCGCGGCGACGGCGGCAGCGCTCGCCGGGTCCAGCGCGATCGCCAAGGCGTCCATCGTGCAGTCAATTGCGAGGCAAGAGGGAAAGTGGTTGCAAAATTATTGCATCCCCGAAAGCGTCACCAGGTGGCGAGTAGAAAACCCGGCGTTGGCACATGGAAAGGACGGAAGACATGGGCGTTACTCACATTGGCCACGGTACAGAGCACACGCCGGGCCACCGCGGGGTGGCTGCAACGACGCGCCCATAACGTACATAGCAATTTGAGAGCTTGCAACGTCCATGATGCCGTCGCCAAAGCCCGCGACTTGGTCCCTTCCGGGACCCGAGGCGAAAATTACGACGACAGCGATGGGTCGTGTCGCTCCTCCAGAAGATCACGGCCAGCGATGCCGGGTGGCATACAAACCACAAGTCACAGCGGGTGGTGCTCACGCAGTAACTTCATTTTGGCTCGCGAGACCAGACCAGCAGGTTTTAGCCGATGGTTGCCAAAAAGGGGTACCGCCCTGTCCGCACGACGCGTCCTGCCAGCGTTTTGCACGACCCTCCATGTCGATCGATCGACTCGTGTCGACTGCATACGTCGTAAACACGCTTGCGATATGCGAGCTAGCACTGTGGCGTCGTCCGAGCTCGTGCGTGGGGCTTGGGGCGAATGTACTCTTTTAGGCGAATTCCACGCGCGCGGTGCAAAGACGGCACGTTCCCAGAACAAAACCACCTTTTCTGTCACGCAGCAACGAAGGGAACCACGTTATGTCGTACAACGCGAAGCGAATCTTACGACGTGGCGCGCTGCCAGCAATGTGCTAAGAACGTAGCGAGCGCGGTTTCCAGTGTTCCCGTGGCAACAACTTGTACATTGGTTCTAGTTGGTACGTACATGAGTCGAGTCGTTCCGTCGTCGTAGACAGGCCATCGCGGGTGGGTGGTCATTGACAAGCTTGGACTTACAACTGGTGGCGGGTAGAGAGCACGGCATACGATCTGCCAATCGCGTCGAGAGGCCCGTGCGACATGGTCGCTTGACGTAGATGGTGTCACCCGCCACGACCTCTGCGATCAACCTCCGACACCAATTCCGGCGCAACATGATAACGTTAGGTGCCTCATTTCGTAGCAAGGTGCAGCTTCCGTCGACTCGACGTCGCACGCCGCCATCGTCAACGCTCAATGAACTTCGGAGCTAATACAGGATGATTGACTTCCATTTTATGACGTCGTGGTGCGCAGACTGTCCATGATGCGGACAAGCGCCTGCACGGTGCGAATGAGGTCGGCTTCGGTGTGCAAGTACGAGATGAAGAAGCGCAGTCGGCACTTGCCCTCCTCGACGGCCGGGTGCACGATCGGCTTGACGTTGATC